GCTGGTTTGGGTCTAGCCAGTCTTAAGAGAAACCAAAATCTACTGCTAAGTGCCAGCAGAGGAGCTTGAGTATACCTAGCTCTTTGTTTTGATCCACTTGCCAGGGCAATCAAAATGTTATGTTGGATGTAACTGGATCTTTTGTTGATTTTGGATAAATTCCTTTTGCCTCCAGGTGCAGCACTCTAGTTCTAGCTTGAAGACAAGGGGTGTGGAACTCGTACTGCTCTCCAGGTGCCACGGGCACCCTTTGCCACAGTTTGTCTGAATTAATATCTGGCTCTGCACTGTTGGGTCAGTGATAAACAGAGGATGAGAAAACAGCCGGCTGAAAATGACAAGCATGAAGATACCTTCCTAGCCTCATGATTTTAAGAATGCAAATGCATTTTAAATTAACTGTTAGCTTTTCCATAAGAATGGAAGCATTTGCTGACCAGGCAAAATGCTCTGCGACAGAATTTTTTGATACTGGAGAGTTTTAAGGAAAATGTGTAAAATGCCAACATCCAGTTTTTAGGGGGAACTTTGTGTATCACAGTGTTAGGTAGATTAGTAACATTATGCTGTCAGTTGGTGGAAACAGGATGAATAAGTAAAAAGGCCATTGTATTGCAATAGAGTACAGATTTACAGTAGGTCATGAAGACTGGAAAATACTGGGAAAACATCTGAATCATCTGCTATCTTTATTTTGGCTCTTTCACAGAAACTTGACTTTTTTCTAGTCTTCTATAGACTATGCTTTCCTATTCAAGCATCTTGTTACACATGTTGGAAGCTGGCTTGCAGGGAAATGAAACAGCCCGAGTGTTCATTGTTAAATTCTGGTGTAAGTTAAGCTCCTGCCTGAGGGAGCAGATGTCTCGAGTGCTGTGGATGATTCTCACTTCGCGTATCTTTTTCTTTCCCCTTTCAGCAACCAACATACGTTCAGGCCCTGTTTGATTTTGATCCCCAGGAGGAAGGAGAGCTGGGCTTCCGCCGCGGAGACTTTATCCAAGTCCTTGACAATTCTGACCCCAACTGGTGGAAGGGAGCCTGCCATGGACAGACGGGCATGTTTCCACGCAACTATGTGACCCCAGTGAACCGGAACATCTAGAGATAAATATTAGAGATTATTTAAAGAAACCAGAGAAACAGTAAATACACATACAGAGCCTAACTGCAGCCAGTGACCTAAAATCACACGGCGATAAAACCTGAGTCACCTTTCACTGTGAGGTGATCCTCCTTCCTCAGTACGGACTTTCAGGGGTGGCGGGGGGGGGAAGAGTTCAACTTACACACCAAAACTTATCTTAAAAAAAAAAAAAAAAAAAAAGAAAAAGATAAAAAAATGAAAATAACAGATTTCCTCAGCTGCTCCTGGGTTACCCCCTTTCATTCACTCTTGTTTCCCCCTCCTCCTCTGTCCATCAGTGCATGAAGTTTTAATGCCATATAAAGTCCTAGCCATGCAGTTAAAGGAAAAGGGAGAAACTCTGCTGGTATTTTCTCTCTCTGCAAACGGTCTTCATTTGACATGAAGGGACATGAGAGAAGAACCAAATCCACAGTCCTGCCTTTAAAAAAAAACAAAAATCATCAGTCTCTGCTTTTGCCTTCAACATTCAGCTCTTCTTGCCTGGGAAAGATGAGGTGTTAATCTAATTTTTATTGTCTCTTCTCCTTTGGCACTTTCTTATGAAGCTCAGCAGCTTCCAAGCGGGGGAAGGGAGAAGAGTTGTGTGGCTTTTTTGTTTTGTTTTTTGGTTGTTTTTTTTTCTTTTGAGTCACAGCTTCTTTGAGAAACTCCAATGTACAACTGAAGTCTGTTAATGCTGTGCTGACAGCTTTTTTTTTTTTTCTTAAAGGTGTACGGTTGAGCACATTCTGTACTTTTTTCCATAGTGCCTTTCCCTTATTTTCTTTTTTATTATTTTTTAAGTTAAAAGGACAGTCCAGAGCTTTTCAGAGGGTTTTTTTCTGCCTATGTGTAAATAAATACTTTTGGGGGAAGGTTGTAAAGGAGGCTGGTTTTATCAATGGACATTTGAGAAAAATCTACAAACAGAGATGGAGCTTTAATCTTAAGATTTGTCTTACTGTTCAACTTTCCTTATTCCAAGGAAAAAAAAAAATCAAGGCATTCAAGTGGCAGCTTAGGCTGCTCAGAAGTGGGGAGCTGCAACCAGGAGCCTCAAAAGAAGTAAGAGAAAGGGGGAAGTTATGACCAGGGAAAATGAGGAAGAGTATTTTGGGGAGGGAGGGTTAAGGGGGGAATTTGAGAAATAATAGCCCTGAGATGTCCTATAAAATGTACATTCCTTTGATGGAAAACTTTATAATGCAGAGAAACCTCAAGAAATAGTGCTTGAAAAAACTTTATGCTATTAGTGAATGTTTCTACGTGATGCATGTAATCAGCCTGTTTCTTTGGCTTGGATAGGGAATATTTGCAGTCGTGTTGCTCTTTAGAAGTGGGGTTGGCATCACTGTTCTCCAGTTTCTCCTCCCTCCTCAGGTCAGTGTTACTGTTGAAGTAGATTCCCCCAACCCCACTCCCCATTCACAGCAGGCTGTGTGATGACTGTAATCCCCACCCCACACCATAATGGCATTTATTGTGGCCATTTGCTCCTCCACCAGAGCAGTGTGACGTTAAATTGGATGGAAAGGAAAGCAATCAAGCTGCACCGCTCTCTGTGCCAATCTTCAGTTGCATTATTTTTCTTTTTGGTGGCCGTTTGGCTGGATCCCTTCACCCCACCAACGAATCCAAAAACTGCAGCGGAGATCTCTTCCCGCCCTGCCTAAGCGCGGGCAATCTTTTGTTGGAGGGTGCCTTTTTTTGTAATAAGTGTTACAAATGTTTTATTCCTGAGATGGACTCTGCCTTACACTTTAATTTTCCAGCAGATGAAAGAGAGAGCTATCCTGTAGAGTATTACTTTCTCCCCCTCTCCTTGCTAGCTATCACTCACTTTCTTCCTTCTTTGTAAAGTGATTGGAAAAGGAATCTATGGCATTCTACACCTGGACCATTTGATTGTTTCCTTATTTTGGAATTGGTGTATATCATGCAGCCTTGCAGACATATGTCTTGTGTGTGTATATATATTAAAAAAAAAAAAATCAGTGTTTAAATAAAAAAAGGCCTATGTACTTAATCCTTTAACTCTGCAGCAGCATTTGGTAGATAGTAATTAACTGTGAATAATAAATATACATTGAATTCTTCACTTGAGCATCTGTCTTATTTCAGTTAACTGACCAAAATAGAACCGATTGACTTAATTTATAGCATATTAAATTTCTCTGGGAGGGAAAAGCTGTAAGGTGTCCTCTGGCCTGAAGCGCTCACTCTTCAACACCATAGTTCAATCTTGGCATGCCTGGCTGAATTAATTACTCTTTCAAGCTAAGTCAATGGGGAGCCATGTCACTTGGCACGTGTGGCATTATGCATAATGAGGAGGGGGAAGGGAGTGATCAGGTCGCTTCCAGAATTGAAGACCATGTATCTATCAGCTGCATGGGAGGGTGGCACTTGCTTTGTTTTTTTAAGGGTTTTTCCTAACTGTTCAAGTGCCCCTGCGGTACGGACTGTAATGCCATAAGGAGCCAGTAATGGGGAATGATACACCAGTTATTTCTGGACTACTTGCTGAAGTACAAAGGGGAAGATGGGTGTATGACTTGTGTAAGCACAGCAGCCACGGCTCAGACTGTCACATGAGCTTTTGCTCTGCTTGATCAGTGCCTTGCAGATGGTTTTCACTTTTCTCTTGTTGCCTGAAGAAGTGGAGCTGCTCAGTTGCGCTAAGAAGGTGTGCAGGCAGCTCCGCAGGTTACCTGTCAAGCTGCCAGTCTGTTGGCTCTGCAGCTTCTCCCCAGCCTTTGCTTATGTTCAGAAAGTGCCTGTGAATTTTGTAGTACATTTTAATATACAATAGGAGAAGGCCCACCAACATGAGGGTTTGGCTTGTTTTTTACAGTTGCTCTTAGTTATTATGCTCAAATACAGATGTAGTCAAGGAGTTTGTGGTTGCTCAGAAATGCCTGGATATTCCCACGATTAGTTCTTTATTTTTCATTTGTGCCAGTAAAGTCAATGTAGAAATGATTTGCAGTGTGGTTCGGAGCTCTTGGCTTTTTTGTAATGCTGTAACAGAACATGTTGCTCAAAATTGTGTGCTATTCATACCTTGGGTATCTACTGAAAAGTTTAGAAAAACTTCCTTTCCTTGTGCTTTATAGAGGGAAGAAAAACGTTTGTTGCTACTGTGATTGTATAATGTCAAGGCTAAGGCCATGGTGGAAGAACTACTGTAAGCAAGTCGTTTCTTCCCGGGTGTTTCCCACTTGCCAGCTTTGGCATGTGGGTCGGCAAAACTGGTGGTAGACTGCAAAAAAAGCCGAAATCCCAGCTTATTTTACTGTCGGCCGCCTGATCCAGCAAAGCCGCAGCACGGGAGCTGCTGGAGTGCAGGGTCCTTTGTGCAGGCGTTGCTTTTAGAAGCACAAAAGCTTGGAGCCGAGCCCTCTCCATTTCGGAAATCGCGCTCGCCCGGGCGGGGCCGACGGGGCAGGGCCGCTGGACTACATTTCCCAGCGCCCCCCGCGGCGCGCAGGCGCAGTGCGGAGCGG